GCATCAGACCTTTACACAGTGCAGCTGATTCAGAGTGTAACCAGATCTGTGCTCTGATTGGTGCCAGTTCATTTGATAAATAATTAGCCCGCGGCTTCTTGTCAAAATCTGGAAGTACTTTAAACTGAAACTGTTAATGGTTGATTCTGCTTTTTACTGGTTTTGAATGCCAAAAACCACCCTGGGACTTCTTAATGAAGGCTATTCCATGAATAGAGGATGTTCTTGCCAAAGCTCTGCACCAGATAACTGAGCAATCTTCGTTTCCTTTTTCCTCTAAAGTGGGACTCCCACACGACACCACTGTAAACACAGAGCTTGCCTCCATAAACATGATTTTTGATGTTTAGCACAACACATGCTCTAGTGCATTTAAAGTGCAGCAAGCTTCTCACATTCTGAGTAACAGCCCTAAAAATAGCTGTTTATGGACAATAACAGATGGATATTAGGAATTAGCACAGTCACTGGGCAACGATTATACTTATTTGTAAAGAAGCTCAGCTTTCTACCATCCAATAGGGTTGGTGCCATTTAATTTGCTGCCCTAAGCCATAATATCTGCTTTTTCATAAATCAGAAGATGGATTAGTTAAAATCAATTTATTACAGAGCACAGGAAAACAGCAGCCAAAATAAACCAAACTGCTGTCAGTATTCGTGCAATGTTACTTTCTACAAATATTCCTGAAGCATCCAAGACCTGTTCTGTTTGTAAAGATCTCCGTGTAAAACACATCTGAAAGCAGCTCTGCATTCAGCATCTATGTATAGAGCAGCACACACATCTGTCCATAGGCACAGCTGACTTTGTGTGACTGTGTAGCAGCACCATGACATCATTAGCCTTGTCTGCAGTAATTGACAGGGCGAGCATTCTGGTTTGTTATTTTTATGACTACCATAATTAGTGATTTCCTGTGGATTTCATCAATGTCCCTTTTTTTTCTGAGTCCACATCATTCCCTCAGATGGTTAGCTTGTTTTCACAGCTCAGCTTTCCCTGCTGAAGCCAGCTGCCCTTTAGAAATCACTCTCTCTTGCATCTACAAGATACCAGGAAACAAGGGTAACTTTTATTGTATTTATTTGCTTTTATAAACAAAAACTGTTTTTCATTCTGTATGGACCACAAGGTCTACATAGACAAACTGCAGTTGGAACAACTGTTTTATAACTCTAAAAATGCATCAAGTTTTTCCAGTTAGAAAATAATACCTCTAGCATTTGGATATTTTGTATCTGAAAATGGATACATAATATAATCATTCCTATTCACCTATCTGATGTTTTATTTTCATGTCATCTAACTGGGTTAAAAAAAAGGCAGTGTCTTGGAAGACTTGAGTGGTGCATTTGTCTGTGAAATTCCATAAGCACATGCTGCCCTGATTATTTTTACACTGCTTTTGACACTGATGCTGCATAGCAAATGCACCCGTTCAGGATTTGCAAGATCTGCAGGATCTGCAAGAAATGCTTGCAAAAAGAGGAAGTAGTATCTCTATGTTTCTATGGTCAAAATATAAAAATGCTTTTTTTTTTTTTTCTTTTTTTTTTTTTTTGCAGGTCATTGTCTCATTTCCCCCCCCCCCTTCCCCCAAAAGAGTTAGGAGTTCAGGTTTGGTTTGGATAAAATCCTGAAATGTGGATATGTCTCTGAATTACCTCATCGTCTTGGTTTGAGCCCTTAGTTGAACTTTGTCCCAAAATCCAACTCCAACTAACACGTGAAAAATTTAGTGTAGGCTTTAAAAAGCATGGAATCAAAATTTACCTTGGTAAAAACATATATTTGAAAAACAAAATACATACTTATATGTAATTGGCCTTTTGGAATTCACCCCCACTAGTTTAAGGACTGATCTCAAAGACCCTTGCATCTGCCAGATGGGTAGCTTCATTCATATCATATATATATATATAATTCTACTGTACCAACTGTGAAATAAAGTTATTTGTCTAAATAAGTGTTTACAGTTAACCTGCACATTCCACTTATTAAAACTTCATCTGTGAAAACATCAGCCCATAGAAACAGAATCTCTTAAACCTGAGTTTGCACCCAGTGCAATGCTTCCACAGTTTGATAAAGGCTGTTCCAAACCCTACAGAGATCAGGGGTGGAGGAGTTAAGCAGGATGAACAGCAGCTCAAACTCACAGGATGCACGTGAGCACTGGGCACCTGCAGGCCCTTGTGCTTCTCTGTGAACACACCCCACCCTTTCCCTCTGGGCTGTAAGAGCTGCCTATGGATTTCTGAGCCTGCAGTAGCCCAGGCTGCCAAACACTGGAAATCTCAGCCTGTGTATTCTAACTGCTGGCTTACCACTGCTGGCAAATCAGCCGTAGCTCAGGCACAAAATCATAGGATCATAGAATGGCTTGGACTGGAAAGGACCTTAAAGATCGACTAGTTCCAACCCCTCTGCCATGGGCAGGGATGCCTCCTACTAGACCAGGCTGCTCAGAGCCCCATCCAACCTGGCCTCAAAATTACCTTGTATTAGGTGGATTCCAGGCAAACAAACAAACAAACCACCTAAACAAACCGCACTGACTCTGCTCACTCTGCCAGTGGAAAATGCCGCATTTGCAATGGTGGAAGTTGCAAGAGTTCCCCTTCTGGAGAAAACTGGAGAGCGTTAAATCCGCGGCATTTGGCGGTGCGTTTCTCCAGAGTTAATAGCCAAGGTAATGACGGAGCACGTGGCTTCAGCTTCAGCTTCCGAGAGGTGGTTTGGCCTGAAATGCTGATATGTTGGAGAGTCAGCAGAAGGAAAAGGTTCTGACAGCACTGCCTCTACCGTCTGTCCATCGGGACTTCAGTAGATGGCACTGTCACACCAAGTGGGGCACAGGAAGGGAAAGTGTACAGATTATGCTGTCACACATTGTGTATGCTTTTCTTCAAATAAACTCCCTTCTTTTTTTTCCCTCTCTAGATGACATCTGATTATTAGATTTTTCAGGGTAATAAACCAACTATTCAAAATGTATAAAATAGAACAGGTGACCACTGAGCAATCTGTTGACACCTTTTCAGTGAGGTGGTATAGAATAGGACTAAACAACATTTTTCCTTTATAAATCCCTGGAAAAAACAGAATTTCCATCAACTTTGATTTTTTTAGCTTTGTGTATTATTTTTTAAAATAGTTTTCAGTTGTGAATTGTTCCAATTTCTGTTACATTTCAATGGATGTGTTGGGGTTTTTTTCCTCAGTCCTCTTTATATCATTAGGCAAAGAACTTTCTGGGGTAGTTATGAGGAGGAGGGAGGGAACATCTCCACTCCAAATTTTGAAAGTAACACCTTTAAAAAATCCCATTCAATCTCTCTGAATGGGATTTTTTGGCATCTGGCCCAGCACTTACATTTGTACGTGTGTTTCCCATGTAGGTGATATTAACACTACCTTAATCTGACTTTACACTTGCCAAGTTTGTAATCTATTAAAGAACTGTAACCCTTGGTGCAACCACAAACCCTTCAGGAAAAACAGTGTTAGCTAGTCCTGACTCAAGGGTATATTCTTCTCAAAATTATCCTGTTGCTATTGTTTTGGGGTTTTTTTCCTAAATGGTATGAGAACTCTGGCAAATCAGCCAGCAATTTTGTCCAGCATCTGGATTATATGGTCAACCACAGGAAATCTCATGGAGGGGCAACAGATTTTTGTTCTTTGTGTAGTCCTGCTGGGATCACTGTCATCTTGGTAGTTGGATTCAGACTAATTTCCTGTGACTTGATGTCTGCTGACATGCCAGAGCTTTTGCATAAAAATCTGTAAACTCTGCTGATTTTTCTTGGTAATCAAACGGCTGCCCATTTCTCCCTATTAACCAGTGACTTGGCTTTGCATTTGGAACAATTTCCTAACAAAGCAATGTGTGGATTTTTGTGACTGGAAAAAAAAAAAAAAGGCACTGAAGCACCGATTTAAATTAACTCTTTGTTTTCCCATATATGAAAAATTTGGATAGAGCCACATCCTGAGTATCAGCCAGAAGGATGCTGAATCTGTAGTACATTTATCACCACCAGAGATGCCATTTGTATGCTGGGCAGCAGATCCACCAGTTTTTCTAGGAAATCAGTGAAAACTGGGTCAACAATCTGCAAATCACAAATTGCTCCATTTCTTTAATATTACCCTTGCAGACACTCTGAATACTTGCAAAGCTGGTTTCCAGGATTTGACTTTCCAGTATTAGGCAGGATAGCAGCAATATGATTTCTCCTGCTCCCTCCCTCTTTCCTTTCTTTCGTCATTTTCCTTTTGTTTTGGCATTGAGCCTGAACATTAAGAAACATGTAAAAATTGGAGACTTTAAAAGGAATATCTTTGATGCAGAACAGTCAGATGTTTTCTGCAACATCGTGGAACATGAACAGTGATGTCAAATATCATAAAGAAGGGATCACAGGCTCAGAAACTTGTATCTTTGGTTTAATAATTTTAATTGGTCTACTGCAAAATACCGCCTCACCACAGATTTTGCTTCATTGGTAGTTGATAGTATAATTACAGAATTTAAAATGCCTGAAGAGTGGATTTTGATTCTAGCAAGTATTTTTGGTTTGGCCTAAAAAGGACACTAAGAAGAGCTTATAAAATAATAAATTAAACCCCTTTGCAGTTCTGTAGGTCTTTGACCTGTCAGACCCTTCACGAATATCCGTTCCGAGCTGGCCATCCGCCATGAACGCTGATCCCGGCCCGTTCCCAGCAGGAGCCCGAGCAGCGCCGCAGAGCCCTCCCTCATTCCAGCGCCCGGAGCTCGCACCGGTGCCCGAACGCGGTGAGATCACGCGGGGCCCCCGAGCCCCAGCCCACCCCAGAGCCGCCCCTCGGAACACAAAACCAGCTTTCAGGGCAAAGCCGCAGGCTCCGGCTTTTCCCACGGTGGGAATCACGAGTCCGTGCGCGCCGCCCCTCGCAGCGCGGCGGGAGGAGGGGAGCGGGCCCGCGGCACTGCTGACGTGCGACGGGGACGGGGCTCGTTTCGGAGGGCACACGGGCTGGGAGAGGCTGGCAGGGCTGCGGCTCCATCAGCCACAGCCGCTCCTGCGGCAGCCTCCACCTCCTTCCCTGCCTCCCTCCGTTCGTCCCTCCTCCGCCTCCACCTCCGCCGGCACAGCGCCGGCTCTGCCCTTTCCACGCCCGGGGCTCGGAGAGGCGGAGGGAAGGGATGGCGGGGGTCTCTCTGATGGGGAGCGCTCTCCGGCTCTCCGGGGCGCTGTGCCTCGCCGCCTGCCTGCACCTGGCGCTCGGGAGGGACGCCGCAGCACAGTGGACCCTGGAGAAGGTGGGTCGCGTTTGCGTTTCCCAGGCGCTTCTTGCCTCGCTTGGCGGAGGTGGGGAGCACCTTCCCGGCGGGCAGGGGTCAGCGGCTGGACGGGGGTACAGCCTCATATCCTCCTGCCCTGGGCGCCAACATGAATTCGGGCTGGGGGTTCGCCCTTGGCGCGGGAGCCAAGGGACCGATGCCGCAGGTTGAGGGTGGGTGAAATGGGTTTGTTTCCTCGTACCCCGAGCTTGGTGGCTGCAGAGAACAAGACGCCTTCAACACGTTTGACGTCTCGGCGAGACCGGTCAGCAAGAGAGATATGCTTTGTCAGGGGCAGCTTGTGACATTAAGGGAAACCCAAACAGGGCAAGACGGATCGAAATGTGAAATTATATTCCATATAACATTCTATTGTACTTCAGTTTTCATTGTGATTATGGTGAGTCAGAGGATAGTGTCTTAGTTTAAGAGTAGCTCTTCCAGCAGTGATGCACATGTATCTAGGAAAAACAAGTAAGAATGATGCTGAGGCACCACAAAATTGTTTTGAAAGGATATAGTACTATAATATGTTGCAGACCCATATTATATTGTTTCTAATTCAACGTGGTATGTGAAGCAGTGAAAAAAACACTCTCAAGGTTTAATTAAACAGTAGTAAGCCTTAAACCACAGATTTCTCCGTGTAACAACTCAGTGGTCCATTATGAAACACTAACATAGTTTCTTTGTGAAGAACTAAACCACATGAAACATAGGAGAGCATACAACCACAAATCACATTCAACTGAAAGTTTCAGGAATTTCCAAACAGAAAATGCATGTCTAGGGCCCATTCCCAGGTGTTTGTAGAAGAGCTGAACTCAAAGTTCAGTCAGAAGCAACTGAACTCCAGTAATCTAGTGCACCATTCTCTTCACCAATAGATAAGGGTCCAGGACAAACTGGCAAAATGAAGCTTCCCTCATTACTTTCTTACTCATTTCCCCTTAGTCATTCCCTCTCTCCTTGATTTTATTCACTCCCCAGTCAAGTAAGCGTTGGGTTGTTTGTTTATGAGATACTTTGTCATTCTGTTCTATTAATTATATCTTATTACACAGACATGTATAGCTCATGTACAGACTACCTATCTGTAATGTAATACATCTATATTATGCATAATACATATGTATATGTATATGTACACATATATGTAAGAATATGTGAGGCTAATTCTTTAGTCATACTAGTCAACGAACACGAACGTAGCCCCAGTGCTCCTTTTCTCAGCCCCCTTGAGTCCCACCAATTCACTCCTTGGTTCATTCCACTCCCAGTAGTCACTCCACTCCCCAGTGCTGTCAGCAGTACCATCTAACCGCAGAACCATTGCATCTGAACGCCTCTGCCTGTGCACACACTAAGCAAGAACCACTTCCTCTTTTCTCCTCAAACTGTTGTCCCTTGACAACTTTAGTTCTGTATCCCTGAAGGAATGTGTGAGCCAGAAGTCCAAAATCCTACAGGTGAGCGTGGGCTACTCATAGAACTTGAAGTCTTGCAGTTTTATGCAGCTTAGTACAACAGGTTTAGTGACAACTCTGTCATAAATACATTGTTCTGCCTCCCTGTTGTGGCAAAATAGGGATTGACCAACACTGTAAAGAATGAGTCACCTACAGATCTTATTTTGCTTATTTCATAACCATTTTTGTAATTACTTTCACTTCCCAAATTTGAAGGTATCTCCCTTATTAGAAATGGAATTTGATTCCTTTCTTCTGAAGTATTTTCATGCATTTGTACTTTAAAAATGTTTCTTTGCACAGTGATTCAATGACCCCAATTACGAGGCATGCTCTTACAGTTGGAAGCAAGATGATTCCCCATTCTAACTGAACCCTTCACTTGTTCAACTGCAGACATATTTTCTGAACTTCCTCAATTGAATTGTCCTCCTACAGTCTTTTGAATCACATAGCTTTAGCTTTTCTCTCTCCCCTTACACCCTGCTCCTCCTAAACAGAACAACTCCCTGACAACATTTTCTCTTGTCTGTGCCTCTTCTACACTCGTCTCAATTCCACTGTATTAAACTTCTAGTCTTTCAAAAGACGGTTTTACAACTTCCACAGTACAATTTCCAAACTTTTAAAAGTTCTTCTTTATATCAGATGAAATGCAATTTTTCTTTAACCCATGTCTAAATTTCCTAGCATTAAAAACAGTAACTGCACATCCTAAAATGTGGTGTCCTTACAGTCTTAAAATTCAGCTTTAAACACTGTATTAAAATTGGCACAATAAGATTTGGTCTCTTTGCATCATCCCTCTGCTTAATTTCACTAAACTTAAATGGAATTAGAGGAAAGGTCCACATGTAGATAAACAGCTAGGAAACAAGAGAAAGGTAGAATTAAATATTTACAGTAAAGTCTAGAAAACACTTGTGCTTTTACCTGCTTTGCTCAGTACACACACAAATGAAGTAGAAAAGAAGTCAAATAGCGAGATAAACCCCATTTTTTTAACAATATTCATCATTCAGGGTGATAAGATAACAAGTCATTATACCTGACTGTCAAGGCCAGTACACTTTCTTGCCAGGTTTTAGGTGTTACTTCAGACACATGTGAAACGATGTACATGAGTGAGTGGAAAAGGAGAGGGAATGATTATTTCTTGCTAACATATACAGTGATGGTGTTAGACTACAGATACCTATGAAAATGTCAGTTTGATGCAGCAACAGCCCAAAAGCAAGTCAGCTGTTAAACAGTTTGAAGAAAGAAAAAGAGTAAAATAGAAAATACCATTATCCTACAGTTTAACCTATGGTGTGCTCATGTTCCATTTTCTCTCCTCTTGCTCCTTTCAAAAAGGACGAGGTAGACAGAGTACACTGAAGGATAGCAAGTGTGATCAATCATTTAAGGCAGTTCTGATCAAAGAACAAATAAACAGAGCAAGATTTTTCATTAGGAGAAAGACAGGAGTAGAGGGAAGACCCTATGATATAAATAAGGAATGGATATTATAGGAGCATCCAATGACAGTGCCTGAAATAGGAATCTATAAAAACAGGAGTGGTTCAGGAAGTTCTTGAGGAGACAACTGCTACAGGTTGGATAGGCGCAAACCAGGGGCATTTGAGATACCCTTGGGGATCCCAGCTGGCATTCAGCTACCACTCCAGAACAGCACAGGGTGTTGACATGCAAGACACGCATTTGGCAGCCCCATGAGGATGCTTCCATCACTCTGGGTCACCTGAAATAGATCTAAAGTTCTGTGCTTGGGCAACAGAAAGGCAGTCCCGTGGGAGGTAGCTAACATGCTGGTGGTTGCCACAGGAGACAGGCTGTCAGTTCTGAGGTTAACCCATGTGTCACCGAGCTGACGTACAGCCCCAAATGTGCCACGCCGTGCTGTGTAGTCACACTCATACGGCCACTGTGGGCAGAGGCCACAATGACACAGCTTCACTCTCTCTGGGAACGAGCTACCTTATGCATTTCTTTGCAGTACTGCACCTCATAACATAGACACGGCATAAAGCTAAACATGATTACCGCTAGAAACAAAGCTGCTTGTGTTTGTCTCAATAGAAACTTCAGTTGAAGGTGGCATGGTTGCAGACACGACTGTATGTATGTAGAATTAAGCTATTAGGAAACAGAGAACCCATTCATGGGTTGAAGTTTTACAGCTAGCTGGTATGTAGAACTTTCTCACATATTTTTAATACTAGTATATTTTGCCTGGAAATAAAAGATTAAGCCAATTATTTCGGAGTAATGACTTTTTAAAAATACTTTTTGTTGTGAGTAAATCAAACTAGCATAAATATAATATTTACTGTAATTCTGAAGAAAACTATGATTAAAAAATAGTTATAGCAGCCTTCCTTTTCTCTGCCTTCTACAGTATTCTCACCAACCAAGAATTTTAGGTTCTGATGCTATTCAAAAAGTTGTGGCAAACACAGATATTTCTGAAATGTGGCAGAACGATTTGCGCCCTATCCTGATAGAAAGATACCCAGGATCACCGGGAAATTATTTCGTACGACAGGTAAGACACACTTACTGAAAATCTCTAAGAACATCTATTATTTGTATTCTGGCAACGCCTTTGGTGACCACTAAAGGGACAGTCACATTCCTTTCATTCAGTAGGATGAACTCTATCATTGTTCAAGTCTAGACTGCATAGAGCCTACATGACACAGCTTGCACTTTAGCTGACATTATTTTTAAATTAAAAAGTTTGCCTCAGGTTTGGTATCCAAAGTACAACACAACCATTGTCCTTTCCCTCACATGAGCAAGTTTTTGGTCACTGGTTCAAATCCCCTGAGACCATGCATGAGGATAAAATACATCACACACACACACATACACCCCCCTTTTTCCAGAGGGGTCCTGTGCTATTAAATCCTCTGAAGTGTTCCTTCAGATGGATGTATCAACAAAAAAAGGGACCAGAGGGGCCCAAACTGGCAGGCAGATTAAATTGTTGGCACAACAAAGTGCAGCACTGGTCCACATACTGTGCTCACTCCACTGGCCCAAGCACAGCAGTGTGCTAATTCTGGGCTAACATGCCCACACTGCAACTGGCCCCAAGCCAGTAAAGGCTCCAGCACATTGTCTTTAAGCCACAAGGAGTTGCCACATGATTGGATTGCTGCCCAGTCAGCACCTCTGCTCTGTGCTCACAGCATGGGCGTCTTCAGGACAGTGTGCCATGCTGGCTCTGGATTGCATTAGCCAAGCAGGAGACAAACAGTGGTACAGCTGAGTTTACTAGAAGACATTCACAACATCTCACTAGCCTTCATCTACCCTTTAGGCAGTGATTCAACAGCTCTAAGACAGCTCTAACTACCATAAATTTATTCGCCACTCTGCAATTGGCAGACTGCAGAAATGCAGCCTTTTTATGTTTTGTGTGTGTGTGTGTGTGCATATCTCTATAGATTCAGTTTTGTGGTTTCTTCAGTGATACTCTGGAAGGCAGCCAAATGAAAAGGGGAAAAGGAAGAAAAACAAAAAAATAGCTGAGCCTAGGCTAGAAAACCACAAATCACATTCAAAATAGGATCATCCCGTTAGAAGGTAACAGCATGTATTAAATTAGACCCCCCACCAAAGGAAAAAAAGAAGAGTCTCCCATTGTCAAAGCACAGTGGGGTTTGAAATGGATGATACTTCTTTGTTGAGACACAGAAAAAGCATCAGACTCCTTTAGGGGAAAAGGCTAGTGCCAACCACGGTTAGTGCACACTGGAAACTCCATCCATATATTTCCCTTAATCCATAACAGACATCCTTTGCTCTGCCTACTGATAGCTGATAGACTATACAATGCCATAAAAGCTTTCAGTGGGTGACCACAAACAAAATGGAAGTTTGTTCTAGAACTAAAATACATGGCAATATTCCCATTGACTTCACTAAGAGCAGAACAAGTCTTCAAAGTCTATCTTCCCCTTAGAGGCTTTTCCTAATGTTTACTTAAAGAGAGAGGAATCTGCCTTGAAGAAGCACTCTAGGGACCCATAAAAATAAGTTGCTCAACAGAGAAACAGAGATGTCCCTCTAATAAGAGTTAGCAAGAACTCTGGATGAAGTATAACTGAGGTGGTTAGAGGTATTCTCTTTAGAAGGAAGATAACTAAAATAAATTATCTCTTTTACAGATTCACTGTCTTAATTCTTATCTTTACATGAGCTACACTTAGAGGACTTGATTTTTAAAATGTTGTTCTGAAATGTTTAATTCTTTCTTTAATTTAAAGGAATAAAGCCATCTTTTATAGCCTTTTAAACAACTTAGGTCACTTGAAAGTCAGATTTCTCACAGAAGCTAAAGAACCCCAACCACCTCACATCAACCAACCAAATCAAAGAGGATTTTTTTTTATTATACTGCTGTAACATCTCTGTGTAGTAATTATCTAAATAGCCACACCAAGGTCTCTGCAGCCAATTCTGAGTTTTAAGGGCACAAATGAGTTCAGATTTGAAGAGGTAAACATTAAATCTGCTCTGGTTACACATGACAAAAAACACTGGCCTGGAAACTTCAGAGATCAAGATCTTAATGTGTAATATTAATGGGCCATAATTCAAAACACCTTCAGGCTCCAAAGACAGGAGTCAAAAGGGAAAAATAAAAAGCAAATGAGCCAGTCAAAGGCTTAAGTTGCAAAGCTGTCACTTATTTTATGTAGTGACATTATATTTTTTGCTGTAAAATGTATCCTTTAAAAATATAATGAATTTACAGAAATAAGCTTGAGTCACTATTAATTAGGTAATGAAAATTTGTCTGCAACATCTTTCTGAAGCAAGCAGTATAGATCTGATTATTTTTTATAATTGCAGCATATTAAGCACCGTCTTCAAACATTAAAGGCTGGCTGGGAAATTGAAGAAGATACATTTCAGAGATACACACCATATGGATACCAAACCTTTTCAAATATTATCAGCACTCTTGACCCCTCTGCAAAACGCCATCTAGTACTTGCTTGCCACTACGACTCAAAATTCTTTGGACAACAATGGCAGGAGAGAGTGTTTGTAGGAGCAACTGATTCAGCCGTGCCTTGTGCTATGATACTGGAGCTAGCACGTGCCCTGGATAACAAGCTTCAGTTAATCAAGGTAGTGTGCTTGTTTCTTTTGCATTTGCTTTTGCAACAGCAATAGGACTTAGGGCACTTGCACGTTCTTTCCATAGCCTGCATGCCTGGTTCTCCGATTGTTGTGCCTGTGATAAAACTCCCACTGACTTCAAGAAGAACAGAGATCTGTATATATATAAACAAACATATACTATATAAAACCCACAGATTTTACATCAATAATACACGTTTCATAGACTTGCTACTTTCTAGCTAAAATGCACAGAACCCCCCTCAGAAGTTCCTATTGTATCCAGTAACATCTAGGGTCGCTGACAAAGTTTTGTTGCATTCCAGATCTTTAATTTTTAAAATTTCTTAGTTGTATTCTGCTTTGCGACACAGACGAACTAATTGCTGTGCAGGAGAGTTACACTCAGGTCCCTCCATCCCATAAGGATTGCAAGCTTCCTGTATTACCAATTTGAATAGTTTATTTATAAAGCAAGTATAATGTTATCAGTCTGTTGTTACCTATGCTATGAAAATCTGCTCAAAGTGCTGCAATTGCTAGACATAAAAATCTGTTGAGCCTACAAACTCTTAAAAGCTTGTAGGATTACAGATCTGTAGGATTACAGATTCATGGGTGCCATCTACTGGTTCAGTATTCACTATTTACAGAAAAACAGTTTTCATTCGCCTACAGAGCTTTCACAGGAAAAGGTCTCTCAAATGTGAGGGACACTTTACAAAGTGTCAGGAATACACTCAGCTCAGGTACTACAATTACTTGTCAACAATAGTTTCCAGAAACTGATTTGATGCCTTCTGACATGCAAATATATAAGAATGAGAAGAATAGGAATATGCCAGTATTTTTAATCACAAAACAAAACACTCCTGTTGTATGTATGCTTTCATTTGGAAGCTTCATTTAGAATAAATTTGCCTGATGCTTATTTATAGAACAACTTGCACACTGACTTTAAAGATTGGCATCTTTCACTGGTAATACATCACGTTAAAATGAAAATTGTTTTATGTATTTCATGTAAGATGACAGCATTTGACAAAAGGGCAATTAATTACTTTGCACAGCCTGCCATTTGTACAGTCTGTTAAAAATATACTTTGGGATCCATCTGCTTAATACATTAGCTATGACCTTTTTGCTCTACTCATGGTAGCACAACAGACTTTGTTACGTTTTCATCCACATCTATTTACACTTTGATTTGAAGCTGTGATTTTTACCTTGAAGTTTCTCCAGTTATATATATTGTAAGTTTAATAGGCAAAGACATTTCTCTATGTTATTAAAATGTGTTAAACAGCAATAATAATACAAATACTTTCTGAAACTCAAATGGCCTGGATAGTTTCCTCCAGAACGTAACACAAAATGACTGCTCTCAAAAGACCTCTCTCCTGTGCAAAGGACAAAGGGCAGCAAACCACTGCCATTAATCAATATATCACAGTGAGCATAATCAATATCATCTTGCCTGTGTGAGCAACATTTTATGAGAAGTTTTCCACTACTGTTTATATTGGATCAGCTCCAGCTAGTCGGGAGTTGTAGCCCATACAGGACATGACTGCTGCCAGTGACTCCGCCTTTTTAACCACATCATGCAATTTCGCTTGAAGTATTGTTAATTCAGAGGGGTTAAAATATTTATAGCAACTGCCAAGACTACAGTTCCCAAAACTGTTCATTTAGTGGAACCTGACTGGGTTTAGCCATGTTGTAGGTTAGTAGGAAATGCTTACAGTTCAAACAAGGCTTCATATAGAAGACAGAGAGAGAAGGGGACATGGGAAAGAAATTTCACAGAGATGTCTCTTTTGTGACCTTAAATACATTTATCATAAATATCCTGTTTTTAGTGCTGTGATATTTTTGGTTGTTGAAAGGGAAAGGCATATCTACTCCACACTCTCTGCTTTGGTTCTGGGGTAAAGTTGCCTCAGTGGTTGCAAGTTTCCCTGAAAAAAAAAGAAATGGTCATTCTTATCATGAATGAAAATTGGCTCTTTGACCCTCAAACCACCAACTCCACAAAGACGTAATTCCCCTCCCCTGATGCACAGCTGGAGCAATTATACTAATCTTGTGGCACAATCAAGTTATAACCTTAGCACTCCATCCTGACATCCTGTTGTTACTGACACATCTCCTCGCTATTTGAGATAAAGTTTCTGTGACCTGGTTTTGCAGACCTCTCTCAACACTCGGTTCATGTCTGCTATAGTCAGAAATGAAACTTTTGACCAGAACCAAAATGATATGAGACTAGAGAATGTGTCACCATGCTACATAAATCGCTACCATCATTACACCATAATGTGTTTTACAGCCAAAGGAAGGTGTGCATCAGGGACCTTGAAAATACACCCTTAGTGATGTTCCTTATGTGGCTACAGTATATGTCCTTTATTTAATGTTCTGGCCAGTTATTTTACTTTTAAATTCCTCCAACAGACCAGCTCAGCTTCAAGACCAGACCTTTCACTTCAGCTCATTTTTTTTGATGGTGAAGAAGCCTTCGTCCGGTGGTCCCCTTCTGATTCCCTCTATGGATCGAAACACTTGGCTCAAAAAATGGTTTCTACTCCACATCCACCTGGTTCAACCACAAATCAGCTGCAGGGCATAGTAAGTGGATGAATAATAGTAAATTGCCTATTTTAAAAAATATTTAATTTGTAGGTAACTGGCCTAATTCCCAAGAAGCTATGAACCCACCGAAGTTAAAGGAAGAAGCAGGCTTACGAGATACGATAAAATAGAGTTGGCAAGAGCTTTTCAGATGTATCTGCTTAGACCTTTGATTCCTACTGACATTCTGGTTGTCTGCTCCCTTCTACATTCCCTACTCACTGCTGAGGCACTTCTGTCACTGCTTCTTATGACTCATAAAATGGCTTTCCCTTGACAGACTTTGTTGTTCTCAGGGGAAGAAGCAATTTCCTCTTCTTTCTCCCCACCTACCATAGTTTTTCTTTTAAAGGGATATAACACACAAACTGCAAAGAAAGTAAGGCAGCCTGCCTCAGCTGCAGGAACAGAGAAATAGCCTACTTTTTTCCCTCCTTAGAAAGACAGCAAAATGTGTCAGTTTGGAATAATGTTCTGCTAGTAAATTCTTCTCAGTCACCATGGTAGAAAAGCCAGATGTTTGGCTAGAGCTAGCAAAGACCTGGTCATGAACAGGAACCAAGAAGTTTCATTGCTGTTGGTGGTGTTGTGGGAAAGAGTTCTGTATTAAAGATTCTTTCTTCTGTAGGACCTGCTTGTACTACTGGATTTAATTGGTGCACCAAACCCAGTCTTTCCCAATTATTTTCCAAACACTACTCGATGGTTTCAGAGGCTTCAAGCAATTGGTAAGCAGAGGAACGTGGGCTTTGCATGAATTTCAAAATGCAGTGTGTAGTTTCTAAGTGTACTAAGTCCCGGAAATCAGATTTTTAGATCAAGTTTCTGGTTTACAGTAATAACATTTACTAATGTAAACGTTAAATTTGGTTTATCTTAAACCTATATGAAGATTTTTATATTTAATTAATAAAACAACTGAGGAAGGCTCCCAGGCCCTTGCAAGCCACAAAACAGAGTCCATTACTGATTATCACTCTGTGACTCTTGGGAACTGCATCCCCTCTGTGTTTCAGTATTCACCTCTGTAAAGACGGTAATAGCACCAATCTTGAGGTCTTCTAACTACTAAACAAACTCAAAAGACAGTCACCAACTCCTTTTTCTTCTTTGATGGACAAAGCTTCCTTGTGAGAGGAAAAATAATTCAAATGTGCTAACTTGCCTCGTTGTCCTTGTGCATTACAGAGCAAAAGCTACACAACATGAATCTGTTGAAGAATCACCCTGTTAAAGGACAGTATTTCCACAGTACTTTACATCGAGGCTTGGTTGAAGATGACCACATTCCATTTTTATTAAGAGGTACCAGAAATTCTTGTATTTTAAAGTATGTGTTTGGTACAAAACTCATCATTTACTGAATGAGTAAGTGCATGTGATCCTGTTTTTCAAGCTTGTTCGCCCCAACTTGACGCTTCTGAATCCAACTTCACAGCTTTGAAAAACATACACGAAAAAAAGCAGCACTAAAACATATCTATCATCACTTTGCAGGAACACAGCTTCAGTGGTATGGAGATAATGGAAATTTCTGTCAGCAGTAGTGTCCTACAAAGATAATGACCCTGATCTAGCAGGATATCACTACACAGCACATTAGTCAGCTAATTACTACTTCCAGGAGCAGTGAAACACTTAAGGGTTATGTCTCCAAAGACTACAAAGATTTTAAAGATCTGTTGTCAAAGTTACAGTAATGCCACTACTTGTTTAAAGACAATGTTTAAAGTTAAAGACTTAAGACTCCTGCAAAGCCTGACATACTCAAATTAGATATCCTTGTTCCCTAAAAAGAATGGAGATTTCATAGCTGTCACCTTGAAGATGGGAAAAGTGCAGAGAGTAGTCTCAAAATTCTGCCTTTAAGCAGTTTTCTTTTATTTGCCTTTTTTTGGGCATCACACAGAAATACCAAAGGACACACTATGCCTGAAATCCCTTCTGGAATTAGGCAGATACCTGAGACTGTCATCCCCAATCTAAGCATTTTCTTCTGGCAGACACCTAGGCCATAGACTCTGGCTCTGTGTTCATTCTTTTCCTTTGGGATTGACCAAAGAAAGGGAAAGCAGCTGTAGTACTGCTGCTCACTTGTCAAGCTACAGGTCAGTAATTAAAGCACTTGTCTAAGTTTGGGATGTGGATTTGATGTCCTTCTTAGTTTAAGCACTCAGCAAAGCATCCTCAAAACTAAGGTAGGACAAATAAGGGTAGTAGATTAGTGAAACTCTTCTGATTGAAGCTTTCTACTGCACAGTAAGGACTGCAAGAGTCATACTGCTAGAGAAGGGTTGACCAGAAAGGAATGCAACACACGTTCAATGAAGAGAGTGTCTCCCTAGGAAAGGAGGGAGGTATCTTCATATCCAGTCCCTAATTTTACCATTGCTTATGCTCTGTAAACTACTGAGTAACATGAAATAAGCACACAGCTCTGGAAGCAGGCACAACAAGGGCAGCTACACCTCTCCACTTCTAAGTGAGTGCTCTCTTCACTGAGTTGTGCTTACTGTCTCCTGCTCAATGGCTCTCCAACTCCACAAATCTTTCATTTTTCACATCAAGACAGGGCCCAGGTCCAACAAATCCAACACAGCCATCATATGTGTATGTCCAGGGATATAAAAATCCTACATGGGAGAAGCTGATAGGGGAGAACAATAACTACACCTTATCTTTTCTAATAACACAACACCTAGTGAGGAAAATGGATTCCTTAAGGGCACACAGCTGAAAAATGAGAGAGGAAAAGCAGTAAAATAGGAAAAAGGCTGGAGAAAAAACAATGTTCCCCCACCAAAAATGATCAGGAAACAGAAGTCTGACTTAATTCCTCTTTTGTCTATAAGCTGCAGTATGCATACTTGATGCATATATATATATTTATATAATGTATACAGTGATACAGTCTTTTCAAGTGGAAGTTCCTTATCTGAAGATAACAGTGGTTCTATTTTACAGAGCAAAAGTAAGAGACCCTACTTCACCATTTATGGAGAACTACAAAAATGCTTCAAAAATGCTCAATCTTAGCATTGTCATGGTGATCAGTTTTCAGTTGGAGGAGCTGCAGTCGTTTCTCTGCCCTTCTGTGGCTCCTAAACATCCTACAATGAAAAGAATCTCAAACAAAAACCCCAACAAGTAACTACAGGTGCCTTAAAAATAAAAGGAGGCAAGAGTACTCAAAGGAAAGAAGGTGACAGTTTTAGGGAACACACAATTTAATTATAGGATGCAGTCACAAGCTTCAGAAGGTAAAAGGAAGCTGCGGTGACACTCCCTATAAAGCAAGTTTATTAAGTAGTTACCTGACTCTATTGCTAAATGGCAATGTATCAGTTGGCTTAAAGGAACTTCTCTCCTACTTCTTCTCCAAATTTCACTTTTCTTTTTATAGGGGTTCCAGTCCTACATCTGATTCCATCCCCTTTTCCTGCAGTATGGCATACCATGGAGGACACAGAAGAAAACCTTGACAAAACCACTATCGACAATCTCAACAAAATCCTGCAGGTGTTTGTACTGGAATATCTCAACCTGTGATACACAAAACGTCAACAAATTGTACTCCATTTTAAATACTGTTTGCCCACCTTCACATTTGCTATTTAATTGAACTGGAGAGCAGTAAAGCAAAGAAAAATAAGATAGCTCTTGCTAGACTGACTATTGATTCAACTGTTCCTGGCCCAATGTTCCATGTAGCCAAATAAGAGAGTATTAAATAAGAACTAGTTCAGCCTGGAAAGCATTTGATCTTTCCATGTCTTACCTCTGAATAAAAAAACTCGAGTTTTTCCAGATTGTTATCACTGGTTTTTGTCACATGATCTCAGGAAGGAACGCCTGCCAACTTAAGTGTCGGATACAGTTTTTACAAGGTGTGACCAACTTTTGCAGTGTTCAGCAATGGAAATGTGTGTCATGTTATCAAAAGAAACACTAGAAGATCACACTAAAACAGACTTCTATTTTGAGTTGAACTAAACCACCTCATCCTGGAATGGGATGTGATTTTTAATCCTCTCTGCTCCCTCTCCTCCTTCCCCTACAAAGAGGGCTGCAAGAGCTCTGCAGACAGCAGGCCACCAGGAAACAGCAATACCCAAACTGTTTGTTGGATACTTTTTGACTGAGAATGGTGGTGAGGAGTGATGGTAACAGGAAGGTGTGGGGAGAGTTCCATTGTGCTTTGACTGCAACACAGGAAATATAAAGAGATCAGGTGGTGTGTGGGAGCAATGCCCCAGCACACACCATTCGATCACGTGAGAATCATTCCCAATTTGACCCCAAAAAACCCCCAAACCCCACCCACCTGCTGTTTTTAATACAAACCACAACAGAAATAATCATACTAGGCAAGTGATCACTTTAGAAATAATCATTTTATCTAAATACCATTTTAAAGGCAAAGTGCTATCAAAAATAAAATGACCTAAAAGCAAAAGGGCTGTTTAGGCAACAAAAAGATACTCACCCAATTTAACAAGCCTGTGTTTTTACATCCCTTACTGGAATTATTCAATAAATTTAGTGTAACACTGGCAAAAAGAAAGTCTGGAATGAAATCAATGAAAGCCAGAAGAACAGTATTCAAAAGTTACTCACAGAATTATGGTTTCCACTGGTGAGAAAAAGATGAGAACATTTGAAGAAAAAAATAAAATTATCAAGCTGGTGGAAGACGAACTGAGAGAAAACAAGTCAGTATTTTACTCCTCTGAACTTCTTCCCTTACAAAGTTCTATCCTGAGCAAAGCGACTTAAAAAGGAGATAAGCCATGGGGACTTATGTCAGAATGTCAGATTTGGCCTGTATTTTATCATTTTCCTAAAGCAAACATTTCTGAGCCTAAGACAATATTTACATCCATATTTTAAAGTGGTAACAGAAATACACATTTACAGCAATGAAAATTTGTAAAATTTTAGTATTACAGGACAGCCTGAAAATAAAATTCCATCTGATTTTGGTTGCTAAAGATGAAACAAATGCATTTTATGTATACCCATCACTTTAACATTTGTGAGAAATGTTTGTTTTGCATGCAAGTTCTGAAACAGAATACAATGAAAATTCTCAAAAGCTGGACAGGTGTGTTTATTTTCAGGTATTACTGTACATCTGTATGAGTATATCAAAGCTATTTGAACTCTTTGCAATCATAGCCTCCTCTACTGCAGCCCATGAGAAAATAGCCTAAAAAGGGAAATTAAATCTTCTGAAGTTTGAATACTCTGCACGGTATAAGGCACCCTCTGCACCCTCCTACATGGTGAGAAAAGATAACAGGATGGCTATATACAGCAATATTAAACATGAGTTTGTGTGGCTGATTTATTCTGCTGAACTTTGGTGGTACCTCTGAAAAATGCAGTACACATTTGCAGTGTGCACTGCTCCTCTGCTTCTTCAGGAATTTGAAAGTTACCTCAAAATAGGTTTAATTATGAAATGCTGGATCAGAGGGTTGTTATAACTGGAAAAGGCGCTTTTTTTTTTTAAACCTCTATTAAGACTTAGTTGAAACCATAACTAAACCATGTAGTACACCAAATTTACTCAGTTCAAAGAAATGAGATACAGTTTGGTGAAATATGATTCAATGTTTCCCAAAATGTGAATAAAACATGAAAAGGCTTCCTTTTTCCCCCACCCCTCACCTTGGGTTTTGGGGTTGGTTCTTTTTGGTAAGGGAAGAGAGGGTTATCTCCTAACTGGATGCAAGCCCTGGAGAGGTTTATTTAAAGAGGGGAGGGTCATCATCTTCATAATTTATATGTTCTGTCATTTAAAAAATAATTGCTGGAAGGAAAATTTACATCAACCCAGTAACCATGTGAGTCCAAGAATCTAGACTTGCAAAAGCACAAAAACCTGAAGGAGTCAGTAAAGCAAAGACTACTGCAAGGTGGGTTCTCATGACTACTAAGGCAGGGAAGAACAAGCAGGTAGGAGAAAATCAAAGCCATTTGATAAAATGCCCAGAAAACAAAAAATACAAGTGAAAAGACCAGAACTGGTATCTCTTCTACTCTCAGTTTCAACGTTGAATATGACCAAGTATCAGAGATCCATAGGGTCTGGACAAGCACAGGACAGATAATCAATTCAGAATTCAGAATTCAGACAGAGGCTTTATATTGAAGAACCTATCCCTGCATGGTTTCTGTCTCTGTTGGATGGTGGCAGCAGGGGACAGAAATCAAAAGAGCGACTTCAACTAATCTTATCAGCAGAATTGCTGCACAGGTTCTCTCCTTGAATAGGATTTGTCACATCTCAGTCAAGGGGAAGGGAATAAAAATCATTAGTCTACCATCCACAAGATGCTGTCGCTGGCTTAGTCCTCCCAACGGTGTACGTGGTTATTACTTGGGCAAATGGAATGCAGAACTGAATGAGCTCAAGACTCAACATGTAAAGCTGCAAAAAATCCATATTACATTAGTTATTTATATTGTAATATGTGCTCTGGCTCCTTTTCTATCAGGACAGTGCAGTTTCCCACAAGAATCTTAAGTCTAAATAATGGTACATGCCCCTCAAACTCTCTAATTGATGCATTTACCTAAGAGCGAAGTTTTCCTGTTCAATCAAGTTGGAAAAATTTAAGGGAGTAACAATGCCAAAATCTCTGTCAGACAAATGACAGTGAATACCAGTCCTCTTTTCTCTCTAGTTGGGGCAGCATTCCTATCATTAGGAATGAAGATGATATAAATTAGCAACTCTTATCCACCACATAGCAAATAAACATTTAGATTGTGATCACCTAGCAGCAAAATACAGTTAAAGACAAAATGCAGTAAAAATGCTTTCTGTAGAATTATCCCAAGGACCCAGTGAACGTTGGTAGCAGACCCATCAAAACAGTTCTGAAGTTTGACACATCTGCTCATTGAGACTGATGTATCACCCCAGAGCATCACTTAAACAATCAAGATATATAAAAAGATAACTATAAAATCTTGTACACAAATTACCACTTTTTCCTTGTTATTTAAGAATTACACGGATTTTATTTTCCTCGTATAAAAGGAGACATTTTACTCTGTGCCGATTTAACAAATATTCTTAATATATTCACAACAATAAAGCAGCTAAAAAGCTATTCTAATCTCTAAAAGAATCTTTATCATCTGCACATGTGTATATACTGTAAACAATCACTCTTAGAAATATTTTTGTTAAAGTAACTATATTGCACTCAGAATTCTGGGATTCTTGTCCTCTCTTCTCATTTTAAATCAAAGATCAGCTTCGTAAAATGGAACTTTAATTTTCTACTAAAAACAAGTAGGCATGCAATCAATATAATACAACGTATTGAAAATGTCAGAAAAAGGGCGTGTGTTTTGTTATGAAACTGGAGTAAAGAACAGTTCTCAGATAGGCCACACAAGAGTAGTATACTGTAAACATTTTGCTGGCTCTAAGGTGTTGCAGATGCTGTAGAAAGTGCAGTCTAGTTCAGCACCCAAGAGGTACAAAGAATCTGTTCAAGTGTTCTGTACTTCGGTGAACTTCCATGCAGCAATGGCACGTGTAAGAGACGACACACAGCGTAATGAAACAGAGGCGATTACTGAGTTAATACCGACCCCATAAAAAGAGAGCCAATCTTTAGAAGTTCACTGTAATCTTTAAATGCAAGTTTTCCAGGTCTTTACATTTTCTAAAACAGCAATGAAATTGTCACTCTCGCTGCAAATGAAGTACAGAACTAGATTCCCTACTTGTAACTTACATGGACTGTATCCCAGTGGCAGTCTGGACATTACCCCCAGCCTAAAATATCCCCACAAGTTACCATAATGCAGAATGTCACCTTGCTTTTACGAGAGTTTGCAAGAATGACGCCCTTTTCCATGCACTGGCTGGAGAAACAAAGGTAATGGAGAGGGGGAAACAAAAAGAGGAATGCAGTGTCCTTATGCAGAAAAAGAAATCCTCAGTCAGTGTCAAGAGGCCACAGATCTTTAAAATTCTTTAAAATGAAGGCTGTTTTCTCCACTCAGCTGTACAAGAAAAGGATTTCTCTGTCACAGCCATTATCTTCAGGTAACATAATATCTTTGGAATCCCTGAGATACTACAGCTCCATGTAACCACCTCGGACAAATGGAGAGACCACTTAGTATACAAATGAACAAGGTGTAAGCCAATATACAGTACCCTGAGTTGCAAGTGAAACAACAGGAGTGGGCAACCCATTCCTCAACAGCTAAGAGATGCAGGAGAATGTGCAGAGGAGCAATTATAAGATAGGTACCACCCAGGAGAACAGAAAAAACTGAAGTGTTTCTAAAAGGCCTTTCCCTGTTGTCAGAGCAGTGAAGAAAAAGACAACAGTCAGAGGGAAGAGCTCCATGAGAAAGGCCCTGAAGAAATATGGCCACCTAGATGTACAGTAGAACAGTAATGCAAAAGCAGAGACAAGTTAGGTGGTCTTGTTCCAAGTGCACCCCAAAGGTCAAGCACTCCAGCAATGACTAAGATACTTTCCCCCCTGCAACTACGAAAAAAATACAAAGAGGAAAAATACAAAGTCACAATCAAATCACAGAATACTTTCCATAGTCAAAAATGAAATACTGGCTTCAGAAACAATACAGTCATCTGCTCTGTATCCTAAATAGGGTTAATTGTAAAAAAGAGGTGCTTGTAAAATCTTTTAGGTTTTAAATATTTTATTTCCCAGTATATTGCTAGATAATTTTGCAGTTAAACCAAAAATGAAGAAATATCAGAGATGAATATGAAATACTTACAACTAGAAAATGGTTGCTGAACCATCTGAATTTCTATAAAGGCATCAATAAAAATGTAAAAACATGGTCTTACAAAATTAATTACAATCTGAAATGCCAGATTGTCTTCACAATGGCCACAATATGAATACTGATGGATTTCTGCAACCAAAAACTAATTGTGACGTTGCCAAAAGATGGCTTAATACAGCAATCAAAACATCTCTGAGAATTGGGACTTGTATTTCTGCCATTTCCTATTCTCTCAGCTATTCAGCATTCAGTAAGCAATTCTCATTAGAAAAAAAATGCTACCTGGTCACAATTCTACTCTCTTACGGAGTTGTGCTATGTCTCAATACATTCTTGGATGAATGAAGAAAAGTGGATAAAAAGATGAGTAGAAACAGACATCCTATAAAAACCACTTGTAAAGTATCATAAGTCTGGAAAATATCTGTGGCATTACACAGGCTGATGCGAAGAGAAAAGCTGCAATTTAACCATTTCATGAATATGAACAATGCACTTGTTCCCAGCCATTTAGAATGATCTGACATTCCAAATGTTCATAAAAATTGGGTAATAAAAGAATTAAGTCAATACCCTTAAGTACAATAAATAATGGTGTTTATTATGGTCGGGGCTGACCACGAGCGTTTGTTCCATATCTGCTTGGGACATTTGTGAAACCAGTCCTGAATCCTTGAGCTGCTCCCATCCCCGGTATTCCAAGTCCTTGATTGAGTACACTGCTGTAGGGTGTGGATCCATGATTAAAGCCCAGTCCATAGGGCTTTGTCTGAGTGTTTAAAAGGATGACTGGACTCACATTTTTGCCTGGTGTGTTAAAAGAAAATTCTGGCGGTGGGCTGCTGGGCTTAGCTGGAGTGGACGTAACAGGGTTCAAGTTATCAGCAGCTTTCAGAGATGGCATTGGAATAACATGATGATCCGAAAGGTTCAGAATATTGTTTGCAATAGGCACAGATGATAAGGTAGGTCTGATCCAGTCATCTTTGAAAATCTGAACGGTCAAAGTAGAGACCAATGTGTATAATCTGTTAGTGACATGAGCAAGTACCATTTGTTCATTTGCATCTCTCCGAATTCGGACATGTACTGATCCAGCCTAGAAAGTGATAAAAATAAGTTGGCTGTTAACTGTTACTTCAATAAAGATTCTCTCTATGTATTCAAGAAGAAGTAAGTTATCCTGCAGAGAATTATGGCAAGACCTTCTGTAGTGGAGACTACTGACTAAATTAAGAACCTTAATACATAATTCCATAATTAGGATACATTTTGATCTTTCCTAATGCTTTGATCTCTTATGAACGTCTCAAGATCATAATTCAAGAAAAGTGAGTCTTAAAACCAAACTATACAATACAACATGTGATGGCAGGAAGGGCAATGGTTGGGGATTAAAAATGGCTCAAAAGAAGAACAAAGTGCAGACAAACTTCCTATGCCAAATTGAGGCAAAAGTGTCATCACTGTGTTGTTGGAGCAAGCAAGAGGACAACGTGCATGACAAACAGGCTCAAATGGGGACCGTTAGCAAGAACAGCAGCAATGGCTGTGTGAAGCTCAGGCCTAGAGCTTTTCCTGAAAGTGCATGTAAGGGCAGGCTCCCCCTGCTTTCCTCTCAGTAACATTATCTCATTGACCTTGATCCACTGCTGCAGAAGAGAGCAGGACACAACACAGAACCCCTCACGTGCTTTTTCAGTACATATTTAATAAAGAACGTGCTTCACGGTTTGTGCTGTACAAGCCATTTTTACATCAGATGGTGCAGCTGAAAATATATCCAGGTCTCAGGATGTTTCTACTACAATCTGGAAGATGTCAATAGCTAAATATGCATACAAAGTTTTTGTAAATATCTGTCATCAGTCCAGCAATGCTGTGATCCAGTATTTTGGGTGACTGAATAGTAAACTGAAAGCTGTTTTCACATCAGCAAGTAGGAACTGCAGACTTTTTCTTTTTTTCAAAAAGGGTAGCATACTGGAAGAATTCAGAAGTAGACAAATATCCTAGGAGTATTAATTTTCCAGCTGTCACAACATCCCTCATCAACTTATGAATAACCAAGTTCTGTGTGATCATTCTGTATTAACAAAAAACCAATACCCCCTCAAAAAAAACCCAACAAAAAAAAACAAAACCAAAAAAACCAAACCAACCAAAAACAAATTTAAAAACCCAAACAAAAAAAAAACCAATACCCTTCTCTTTTTTTTTTATTGGTACTCTACTTGTTTTGTTCTACCTTCTTCCCAGAAATGCTACAAGAATACAATTCTACTGTCTACTGTAGACTTTTGGTACCTGAAGGGTTACAATTTTCTTCTCTCTTCCTAGAGAATTTACACTAACACACCATTTGAAAAACGTCTTTACTATTGTTTGGGATTTTCTTCACTGCCAAAATACAAAAGAAATTCTACAGTTGCAAAATCCATGCTTTAATCCAGAACTGCAGTATACATTAATAGCAAGGCTTTTAAAAAATATAAAGGGTAGGGGAAGAGAAGTTGTGCAATAAAGCACAAGGACTGTGTACTGACTCCATCAATTTTTTTATAGTTAAGATTTTAGAAGAAATATTTTTATTTAAATAAAAAGTTTAAAGTAGTAACTGACGACTTATTTTTTAGAGGCTAAAAAGACAATAGACATAACTTACCAAAGTGCCAAAACCTAATGTCCAGAAGTGCTCATTTCGAACTTCCAATACACCATCCAAAGTTGAAACCTAATTTTACACAAACATCCACAAATATGAAAATAAATTAGAAGTTTCAAATCCCTTTAGAAATGTACTTTTATGCATACATAACTGAATAACACATAATTTTCAGTAGTGAAATAACAGCTCTATACAAAGAACAGACGACATCTGCTAATACCAGTACTGCTTATCTACTACTTTTCTATCCTTAGACATCCAGATCAATAAAAAAAGATTTAAGGAACTTATTTCAAGTAACTCTTGCTGACAAATTGCAGTATGTTCTCAACTCAATACGCTGTAAGTCCACAGCTGCCTGTATTCCTTTTCCTCCCCTAACTCACATTTGTAAACCACTTCAATGGTAGCTCAAATTTAAATAAAAACAGACTTCACTACTTAAACAGATTTGTTCCAGACACCTGAATTTCACTATTCATCTTTGAAAGCAAGTTTCGTATTTTCTACATGCAGCTGAAAAATAGTATTAGAAAAATAATTTTTTAGCAATCTTCTTGGACTACTCAGAAAAACTCTTAATATTCCTGAATGCTTATTTAGTTAGCTGTGCACTCTGTGCTATGTATTATACACTGGCTTACCTCTCTAAGAAGTTTATCTAACTGGCCAATCACATGAGGTGGGGTTGTCTTCAAAAAGAAGAGGAAAAAAAAAGAAAAAGTTATAATAAAGACTAACTGGCCCTGTTTAAATAAGAGAGCCTTTAAAGAAGGCAAGAAACCAATGGCATTAAACAATAAATTCTTATGACTTCATGATGCATATTTCTACTAACCTTAAAACTCTTATAGCACATCACAAATTTCCATGGGAACACTTCCTATTCACATGTTTAAAACAGATTTTAAGGTTTGTTTGTTTATTTTTTTAAATGAGGACATTTAACAAAACCGAAACCACAAAACCCATTGTTTTGTGACAGTGCCTTACCTGGAGTAGTACTTTCCCACTGTAGACACTCATGGGATACATGGTACCAAACGTCATCAAAGCAATTGCTATAGCAGAGGCTGTGTCTACAGCAAAATAATTGCTAGAGAGAAAGAGCAATTTTAAATAAAAACTCCTATTTACATTTTCGAAAGGCAGAATAACTTTCTCATGATTCTTTTTCATTCTTTTAAGTTATATACAGTTACAGAATATTACACATACATAATCTCATTTGAGCTATACATCTTGGAAAATAGACAAATGCATTTGTGGAGCTGCAATGCCATTCATACAGAATACAGCTCTAGATGAGATCATTCCTTTCATGTAAAAAATGGATTTTCCCATAGACTGGATACAAGAAGAGTTAATTTTTTTAAAACAACAACTGTACGTACTTGATTTCGATGAGCATATATGTAATGCAAAGAGCTAGAGCTCCAGCAATATCAATCAAGACAAAAGGGTTCATCCGTGGCAGAAAGATGCTACTTAATCCTGGGATGATTCCACAAATACTGTAACAAAGCAGGAAAAGCAGTTGTCAGCCAGCTGTTCACCATTATTACTTCATAACCCGAAAGTTACACCCACTATTTCAGCATTTGACTTCAAACACACCTTGCTGTCACAGTGTATGATGAGTACTATAAAGGCCCTTCTAATTCTGCTTAAAGGCTGCTGTCAGCAAAGATTAATCAAGTTTAGATCCATGTCATATTCCCTCCCATATTTAATACTTGACTCTTCCATCTTAAAAAAAAAATTTGCCTTAAATCTATCTCCCCATCTACAAAACATTACATTATGCTTATCTTTATGCAGTTTTTCTATGTGTTAAAATACATATCTTGTGCCAGTTGTTTTTTTTTTCTGGTAACTCAGCTGGCTGTGTCAGCCATATGCAACACAAGTACTTCACAGGTTCAGATACTGTTCTTACATATAGCTAAGTCTTGAGGGGTTTGCATATCACTAGTCTACAATCCATCTGCCACCTTACTGTGCAAAAGTGTTCTAAAGCCAAAGCTAACTAATGCATGGAGTCTGAAAAGGGGAAGGAGACCAGCTAGTTAAATAAGAGGAGACCAAAAAAACCCATGAGGGAACACTGGGAAAAGTTACTTATTTACAGCTACCTCCTATCAATGGGAGTATGAAGAGAGAAAGGAGGTTCTGTACTTCCCAGTGAATACAACTGCATGTCACGTCATGGAAAATTTAAAGGCAGGGACAACATGAAATATTTTGTTGTTCTGTTTAGAGCCAACCTATGTTTAGACATCATGTGTTGGCCTGCTCCTGTAAGAATCTTAATCAACATAATTATATACAGGTGCAGATAATTTGTAATCAGCACTGCTCCACATAAGGCATCTAAAATAGCTGTATACATACTAATTTTTAAAAAAATTATTATTATTGGCATAATTGTATACAGGTTGACTCAAAACCCAGTAATAATTCTACACTCTTGATCTCAGACCCCTTCAGGTTACCCATCAGTGTCCTTCCCCATCACACTGTGCTTCTACACTAACAAAAGAAAAACTCTGCTACTGTCTGTGATTTCTATCCAACATTTTTTTTCTTTTTTATATTGAAACTCCAGGTACTTGGGCAACCCAATTATTAGTCTTCCAAAGCTGTTTTGAAGAATTTGGGTCTGATGCCCATATAGTATCAATTCTTCTGTTTAACAAGTCAGCATTCTCTGCTTTCCTCGGTAAAAAGATCACAACACCCAGAAACAGATGGGCTTTGAAGCATAGTTAACATGTTTTACAATATGGTTTAATATTCTTATTTTGATACTGACAGATACTTGGAAGAACATGTATGGATTAAAATAAACTTTTTTGACATCTGACAAAATTATTTGCAAACAATGTTATCTTGCATTCAGATATCCAATACAAGCAAGAGAGTTAACAGACAAGATGAATGAGCAACACTGCTTCTGTCCCTGGAAGACACAGAATTTCCAGTGTCCCGCTGGACAGATGAGGAGTTTCCATAGCTATGTTTCTGTGAGTAACCTATTTCATACATCATACTTAAACTCAACCATCTCAGTCATTTGCCCAGCCCACACAGTAAATAAACACAGATTGCTACAAAATATATCACTCAGGTAATGAATGCTGAGAAATGCAGTTCAAGTATGTACAAGATAATGCTAGTTTTTCTCATCTCATTCAAGGAGAATCACATACAATGTACTGAACACATACATTCAAAAGAAAATATATCCAGGAAGACATATTTCTGTTAGACTGATGTATCTGAGAAATCTGGCAGAGAGTGTTTGCTCTAGAGTTCATACATTAAACCTACAGTAGGTAAAGCTATTTTAAAAGCTCTAATACAACAGTTTATGCCACAACACCTACCCAAATTGTTATTATACACAAAAACATTTATTATATATGTTATTATATACAAAACCAACATTGCCTTCCAGAAGCTAACAATTTTGAAAAACAATATAAAGCTTTACCTTCTACTAAGATCTGCAACATGCTCCTGAAGCCAACTTGTGCTGGCAGCTGCAAAAGAAAGAGGGTAATAAAGTTAGTGCAAGTAAAGGTATCCATTTTAAAGTACATAAGTTTTATTTTAAGGAAAGAACCCAATAAACACTGTGAAGGAGTAAATGTATCTCAACAGATTCACTGGCACGTGGAAAAAAACAAACTCTTTTCCAGGCAGTAAGTAAAACACCCATCTTGTAATAATTTGAACTGATTAAATACAAATATAATCGCAGATTATAACTGTTATCTTTTGTATAAGATGAAATATAATGTGTAATATGTAATTGTTACTACAGGCAATTTACAGTTAGATGGAATGAATGCAAGCCCAACTCACAATGAAAGAGGTAAAAGAGCTGTTAAGAAGAATTATTACATTATTTTTATCCATTATTATATCCATAAAACGTCTTCCAAGTTCTGCTATCTGTCAGATGACCTTCACCGGTTGAATCCAAAAGATTGAAAATAAAGGGTACTTCAACATTAAAATGACCCTTAACTTATCATATTAATGACTACATTCTACTCAGAGCCTTACAAGCAAACTAGAGTTGAAAATCAGATGGCAATTTTAAACTGCAAGAGGTTATAATAGCAATATATGCCCCCTAGTTAAGAAAGTTACCACACAAGTTACACCTTAATAAAAATATGAACATTAAGATCTTATCTCAGTTGTTGTTATGGTTTAATTAATCACATACCTTCAGAGACATAAGCAAAAGGCTTATTCCTAATGGAAAGCATTGTAAATAAGTTGAAAAAGAGGGCCACGAAAGTACCAACCAGCAATCGTCCCCTAAGGAGGAGAAAATAAGTGTCTTAATTTCACACCATCACAAACTACATTAAGCTATATAAAACTATATATAAATATACATAAATGTATAGTAAAACTACTGTAATTACACCAAGCTGTAATTACTAGAAACAATACCAAAATATTTTGCTTGGTATCTTTCACTGAGGATGAAAACAAGAGTAAGATAAAATAGTGTAAAGCTTAATAACTGGCAGTGTATTGCCACTGTAAGGGTTACATGAGATCACTGACCTTTGTACATTACTGCTATCACATTAGGCTGTACCTAATGTTGAGTAACAGTTCTTAACTAATTACATACATTTGTCCTTTGAAGATATGAATAAATTGTCCCTTCATCAGCACAGCTAAAAATATTAGTTTCCTACAGTATGCCCCTATCCTTTTTCTAGAACTACAACTTCACCATACATCCCATGTCCCAGACTTTCACCATGTAACACCTTCTTTTCCTTTCCACACGTTTTTTAGAGTCTTCATGACCTCTGCAACACCTTCAGCTCCCTCATGACCACAGCATCCTTCCCCTCAACATACCAGGCCTCCTAAGAGGCCTCGATAAGAAATGAGAGTAACTAAACTAGAAAAACCAGCGATATATAGTTAAATCATTATTTAAGAGAGAATCAGAATTACATTTCAATCGTACCTTGAAAAAACTGTTTGTAATACTTGAAACATAGTTTGAAACAAATGCCAAGGTAGCAAAAGCAACTTGGTGTTGAATGTACTTACATAACTAGTACATGATAGATTAGGAATTAGAAACATAAAGGGACACGGACACATTTTACATGTCAAAATAATTTCTTACGTGTGTATCTCAGGCTGTTCCAGAAATCGCTCTGCACTACAAAAATAATTGAAAATTTGAGTTATGTTCATACAGTAAAAACACTGAAACCTGAAACATACTTTTATAATTCTGTATATGCCATTCATAAACAAAAACTAATGGATACAGTATTGAAAAAAATTTTTATAAGCAATGAAAGCATTTAACACTGAATCAAAGCAGATGTAATCTAGATTTTCCAAATATTTCCAAACTGTGCCACATAGGTGCTAGCTACCATGAATGCTGCCTACATGATAAAAAGATGCTTGTAAATGAACATGCCAAAAAATACTGCTAGTGCCACCACCACCACTATTGGTGACCACAAAAACCTAAGTCTGAAATTTCTGACTTACAGCCTCTCACTAAGCAAGACCAACTAAAGTAGACACTGGACATTGGGGTAGAGATAATGATCTTTTTTTTTTTACCCACCAGTAAATTACCAAATGAGATGTAACTGAAAAGCCTATGATCAGTTTTGGTGCTGGAAAATTTGGAGGTTTTGACAGTGGGTCCATTCCAGTGTACTGTCAGTACAACAGGTCAACCTTATAGTACAAAATCGCTAAGTTGTTAATGCAGCCCTTTATATAGAAAATCGAGCCCTTGAATAGAAAAAGGGAAGGTACGCTGCCCCAGTTCTACATGCCAGATGTCAACAAAAGCCTCTTCATCTTTAAACACTAAAATAATTTTTTAGGCTAACCTCTTGAAACACAAATGCTTCCAAGCACAGATGATATGTCAAATTAATATAAGAGCAAATTTTGAGGGAGTGAAGCAGCTGATAGTTTAAACATTCAGATCCTTAACATATTACGTAGCTGCTTTACTTAACTAAGTAACGGAAGTAAAAGAGAAAAAAATAATTTAAAAAAAGTTTTATTTGTTAATGAACTTAAACAGTGAAGATGCATAAGGAAATGCATTAAGTTAATTACCCAACGTTTTGGAAAAAATATATTCTTAAAGACATGGAATCTTTCTCTTGAGAGCTGTTTAATTATATTTATCAATTCCTATCATTACATCTAAAGCCTACCTGTAGCATAATAAATGTGAGTGGTAGGGTTTAGCAATATTTTAAAAGAAATTTTTTCTAAAAAATTCTTTCCTAAAAGAAGTTTTTTTAAAAATATCTCTAAAATAGTAGAATGTATATGCTTTTGCTCTATCTGGACCATATCACAGAATCACAGATTCACAGAATATGCCAATTTAGAAGGGATCCACAGGAATCATCAAGTCCAACTCTTAGCCATGTACAGGACCATCCCCAAGAGTCACACCATGTGGCTGAGAGTATCATCTAAATGCTTCTGTCAGGCTTGGTGCTGTGACTACGTCCCTGCGGAGCCTGTTCCAGCACCCAACCACCCCCTCCAGCGAACAATATCTTCATCCATTATAACAAATTAAAGAAAACAGTACACAACCTACCTTTCTTTCAGTATAAAAAGAGCACCAAGCTGTGCCAGAACTGTAGATGCAAATACAGCTAGAACTTCAAACCTTTCAAACCTGAAATTTGAGAATTAAGTTTAGGAACATTGAACAATGCATTAAACGGACTCTTTCATACAGTAGCCAGCAGGATAGACCTACTCTTTCCAATTCCTTCAAGAGCAGACAGATGGGAAGAAACTGGAATTTTTACAGAGTGGGCATTATTTTCAATTTCTTTTAAGTCAATACTCCACTTACCAGATACACCTTAAAATTAAGTATTTCTTAATTCTTCTTCCTGTTCCTCCCCTACTCTGTAACTGTTCTTTACAACATCAGTCTTGGCCCTCCTTATTTTTGGGCTCTTTCACACACGAATTATTACTCATGGCTGTTAGGGGATCCAGGCAATGACAGTCAGCAACATATTTGATGTTGCATTATCAAACACCAGATCTTATTATTAGTACTTACCCAAATGAATAGACTGGGCTGGGTTTCTTCATCATTACCCAGTAGCTTATTAGACATGTTATCAAACTGAAAAAAAGGGGGAAAATTAGACTATGATAAATAACTGCAGCCTTTACAAACTGGATAATCTACAAATACACTTGAGCTATCAGAACTCCACAAACAAACATAACCACATCTTACCCTAACTCAACAACTCCATCACCGTCACAGTGACTGTTCTAGTGAATCCAGAAAAGGTTGTGCTTGGGAATAAAGCTGAGACTGAACAATGATGTCTCAGTTGGTCCCATAAAAAGGGAGGCAAATAATTTTAGCAGAGTGGTAGTCGGTCTAATTCCTTACCTCAGGACACAGCCTAACGCTGTCCTTACAGCATGCTGTGCTTACAAAGGCTACCACCAACCTTCTTCAGTATAGAATATCACCCAGCCTAAATCAAGTTTACCATAATCCCAAATGCAATGCATTTTTCCACTGAGACCATGACACAAAATAGCATAACCAGAGTTTAATTTGCATACACTCCATGAATTTTTCTGAAAGGGACCTGGAGCATACGAGACCATGTACCCCAGGATCTGACTAACAGGCAAACGTGAATTGAGAAAATCTTTTTAATACTGTCTGGTATCACACATAGTAATGAAAAGTACAAAGCAAAAGCCAGGGAAAGTACAGACACCCAGTAAACGCTTCTCTTGCATTTGCTTTCTGAACTTGCCTAGAGATACTGTAACCTGAGAAAGGCCATTTAAATAAGAAGGAAGCTAATCAGCAAGACAGAAAAGCAAAAGAAAAAAGCAAAGAAAGCTTTCCATTAAACTCTTCTTTTAGAGATACACCAGGAAATTTTGGTTTAGCACTCTAGACTGAGTCTCAGGCACAGCCAAGTATTGCCTTTCTTTTTCACAGTGTAATTTCTCTACATATATGGCCAAAACATTTACTTTCTTTGGCTGCACTGATGTACACAAGCTTTAATCTAACTAGCCATTCACTGACAGCCACAGGTCTCTCTTGCTATCTTCTTTCCAAGTTTTTCTTTCATATTGAACATCTAGAATTCCAATTATTTTATTCCCATGGTACTAGCCTGATTTTTTCAAGGATGAGCCTGAATTACTCTGCCTATTTTTAACTCTATTGACTCCTTTGGGCAGTTTTTTTAAACAGGAATCCATATGGATTTGGTGCCATCTCTGCCTTCATGCAGTCCTTTCATAATTAATGACAATGTTAAATCAGACTGGATCAAGAACTCATCCCTACAGTAACTGATGAACAATCACATCCTCACAACCTGATCCTCAGCTGTGCAGAGTGAAAGAAAAAGCAGAGGAAATAATAGTGCTCATACACAAAACAGTAAATTCATATACTCAGTAAGACTCTTATAAACAACCAGGAAGATGAGAAAAATGAAATAACCAGAAACTGATTTTTGCAGCAGAATTACTGAGCATTGTTCTCCCTTAGAGCAAATCAAAACTCTTGAAAGAGATCACTGTGAGTTAGGATAATCTTCTAGTCCAATCCCAGAAAAGTTGCCAGGGGTACTCTATCTTCTCCTAAAACTAAAGTTCTACCCAAATAATAAATACAACACCAAAACTTCCCCCAAGGTGAAAAAGGTATTTTGGGTCAAGATCACAAAACTCAGCAGATAGAAAATTGTAAGAGAAATACAAGATTCATGAAAGTTAAATTAAAATTCTAATGCAGTGAAGATTAATTTAACTGAATATATTTGATGTCTGTACTACCAATATTATCAAAAGTGTTCAGAACTATCATACTTAAAAGTAGTTTTAATATAATTTTCTTAAGAAACAAGAAAAACACTAAAAATATCTAATACCATATGGGAAGAGTGCCTGGCACTCAGCTCATTAATATTTTTGAAACAGAAATACAATTACATACTCCTTGTTTACTGATGCTAAAACTGAGGGTTCCTTCACAATCAATGACTCTGGCATTAGGGAAATGCTCTGAGTGAACACCCACGTGACAGTTTGATGCTAGAATCTGTTTTATGTTGTCATGCACCTGCACAGAGACATTCCATGACTGAATGGATTTGCTACTAGTAATACAGCTATGGTGGTTTTTATAATCTATTTATTGTGATGTCCAATTTTATACTAATTTATTCTATATTTAAACCAGTTACTGTTTCTGTACTGATGATTAAGTTACACGTGTTTGCATCTGTAAGTAAATTTTAAGTGTATGGAAATACAAAAAGGCAGGGACAAATGAACAGTACGACAAAAATGAGAAAAAAACTCACCTGAAAAGGTCAAAGATTGTCAAATATGTGTAAGCAGTTAAAGCTGTAAAAGAAGCAAATGTTAAAAATTAATACAGTTTTTCAATGCAGAAATCACTTGTATTCTAAGTCCCTTTCATGCAGCTCTTGTCAATTTTCTATCTACATAAACCATCTCTGCTGATAGAACAAGTCTCTGTGAAAGTTCTAAACACATCAATATATTTAACATCAAACAGATTGATTATGGCAAACCTAATTCTACTAAACCATGAAATAATGCCCAGACATAAAAGGTATTACATTTGCAACTAAGTTGTGACTAGGCATTTAAATACAGAAAAGTCAGGAGATCTTTCAAAAGCACACCACCCACCAAAGCAAGAGATTTTTTATGTGCATTACTGCAGTGAAAAGTAGGTTCAATAGAATTTTTTACTTGATTTGCATCTCTGACCTATCTCAAAACCACAAGAAAACCTGTGTCAAAAATTAAAAATGTGCAACATTCCATTTTCAGTAGAGAAGATCTCAAAGTCCCTATTCAGAAGTAGAAAACATAGAAAACTGCATTGGGTCTGGCTGAGATGGAGTTCATTTCCCCACAGCAGCCCTCACAGTGCAGTGCTGTACATTGGTAGCTACAAAGGATAACACACCAGTGTTTTGGCTGCTGCTGAGCAGCACTGGCACAGCATCAGCGCTGTCTCTCTGCATTCCCGCCCTATCAAGGGGTTGGGGGTGGGCAAGATCCTGGGAGGGGACACAACTAGGATAGCTCACCCAAACTGACCAAAGGGATTTCCATACCATGGGATGTCAGCTCAAATATAACAGCTTAGAAAAGGAGAGGGCAGGGGGAGGGGCATTCATTATTAGAACATTTGCCTTCCAGAGCAACTTCTATGCTGCTGTGCTGAAGCCCTGCGTCCTGGGAAGTGGATGAACATCACTTGCTGATGGGATGTAGGGAGTAATTTTTCTTCTCTTTGCTTATGAGCACGCGATCTTTTGAACCTTTTGCTTTAGTAAAGTGCCCTATCTCACCGTAAGAGTTGTCTTCCATCTTATTTTCTCTTCCCTTTTTCTCTCCATGGCTTGGTGGGAAATATTCAGCCACGGTCAACATATCACAGAAACACTGTGATATGGGGCATTCCTGGAACCAAAGAAGCCTAAGCCATTTGCCACACTACAAACATCTTCGTTCAACTGCAAGTGAGGGCCGTTGTACGTCACTGGTGATATTTATACAAGGAACAGGTTTGAGGACTAACTCAAAAGTCTACTAGTTTTCAGTCTTAAAGATGAAGAAGATACTGCAGGAAGCAAACAACCAGCAGGTTGGGAAAACCTTCAGCCCGTCCACACTTGCCTGTGAAAAATGTCTCTAAACTGATTGTGGCAAATCAAAAGGAAGCTCTTTCAGCATGTGGCTGTGTAGCCACCTAACTCCACTACCTACTGAACTTTGCTTTTTCAGTCTGTCAGAACTTCACAAGCTAAGAAATACATGGTAGTTGGTTGTAGTTTCAGTACAGGAGAGCCACCTACCTATACTGTTTGTAGAGCTGCACCACATGAGCAGGAAGCCAATACATATTAAATTTATAGCACCAAACAGCAAAATCTTCCAGGACTGTAGATGAGAATAAATATGTATTTTACATCTTCCAAAATTTACAAGACAAAAATACATCTATTTTGTTTTAAAAAACAATATTGCAGCACTTCATCATGCAAACAGAAGTGGCTTCTCTTCCCTCCCAGAAATTTACCACTCATTTCAGAACAACAAGCCCTTATTCTATTTTAAACTTTATAGATTATTTCAAAACTCATTTATAAACAGCCCTTGTTCACCATACTTAGAATACCTTTTTGGTCTAAAAAAGAAATCATCCCTGTTTAATATTTGCATTGTATTGTAGCACACACCATCTGACTTCTGAAGACAGACTTGTACAACTTTATATTATTGGGTTCCTTTTTTTGAGCTGAAACTTTGGCCCCAAAAACATAGGCACATATTCAGTTTAGAGTTCTATTGAACACATTAAATATAAGGATAATTCTGGAGAACACTAATCAGAGCTGGATTCTTTTTTAAGCACAGCTAGAAAATTCAAAGAAAACTTTTCAAAATATACTTAATAATATATTCTAACTTATCACAGCTAATGTCTTTTAATTATTATGATGATTTTTTAAAGCAATACTTACCCTTCTATCTGCTGCAACCAACCTAAATTCATGTGTTAACTTTCCAACCAATGATCTCTGTGATTTACGGAACAGATGTATTGTCCCCTTAAAAAAATTTCAATAATTTAATTAAAAAATTTTACTTAAGCCATAGTTTAAATTAGCAAAAAGAAAATATTAATTTGTGAGCTATTTTCATAATTATGTCAAAGACTCAAAATGAATTTTTTGTGTAACTAGTAAATATCCCATAGACATTAAATACAACAGTATTTTGGTAACCATTTCGCACAGTTATTCTATTAGAAAATGATTAATTACTTAGAATCAAGCTTCATTTAGACATAATCCACAATTCAGGTTTACTGGAAAACATACTAAAATACCATTTAAAGAGACGGTTTTAACTTTTATTTAGATAAAACTACTACAGACAGTCTGACAACACAAATATTTTTCTTTATTAAAGCACACTTCCCACCTAAAGCCAACAGATTTACTAAACAGGAAAATACTGTTTATGTATCTATAAAAGAGAACCCATCAGAGAAGCAAAAACAGTGCTAGTATCATGTGTGATGTGGTGCACACAAGGCCAGTAACACGATGAGAGGTACAAACAAGCTCAGTTTCGGCTTAACTTAAACATGCACAGTAGATGTGGTGCTCACTGTAGGTGCTCCGTCTCCTAACTTCCAGTGGCATGCAGACAAGTTCTTCCCTGGTGTGGATGGGATGTATGTGCATATAGGAGATGGGAATGAGGAGGTGCTACGTGCCTCTCCTCAAAGCACGACAGGGAGCAGACAATTCATCAACCATGCCACTTGGCTCCCTTCCCTCAGAGGGCCCAAGCTTCTAGTCAGCTGTTCTCCATCCTGCTGTCCCCACAAAGCAGTAAGCTTTCCATGCGAAAATCCCTTCTGATTTGCAATAGAAATTTGTGGTCTTGTAATGGATGGTCTGTCACCCACAGTAATTTGGGGCTGGACAAAATAAGGTTTGATTTTAAGCTATCACACTTTTAACTACCAGTAGAAGACAAAAAGACATCCTAATGGTCTGGTCACCAAAGCAAACTCAATTAACTTACAGACATCTTTGTCAACATGGTTGTATTTTACATTATCTGAGGAATATATGTGTGCCATGAATTAAAATTTAAGCAGGACCACAGATCCAAGTTTAGGTCATCTGGGGCAAAACACTGGCATTTATTGTTTTGTTTACTAGCAAATTATTACATGATGATTTTATTTCTCAACAGAGATACGCAGGATACCAGAACACTTTGGAAAGCTTTTCTAACAGGCAGTGGATGGCCTGCTTATGAAGGCTGCTGTATTGCAGAATCACAGAATATCCTGAGTTGGAAGGGACCCACAAGGATCACCAAATTCCAGCTCCTGGCCCTGCACAGGACAGCCCCAAGAATCACGTCATGTGCCTGAGAGTATAGTCCAAACACCTCTTGAACTCTGTCAGGCTTAGTGCTTGACCACTTCCCTGGGGAGCCTATTCCAGTGCCCAACCACCCTCTGGGTGAAGAATCCTTTCCTAATATCCAACCTAAATGCCCCCCGACACAACTTCAGGCCATTCCCTTGGATTCTGTCACTGATCACCAGAGGGAAGAGATCAGTCCCTGAACCTCCCCTTTCTCTCAAGAGGAAGTTGTAACTGCAATGAGGTCTCCCCTCAGTCTCCTCCAGGCTCAACAGACCAAGTGCCCTCTGCCGCTCCTCATACGGCTTCCCCTCAAGGCCCTTCACCATCTCTGCAGCCCTCCCTGTTGCCTTCGCACCCGCTTCTTTCCCGCACTATGTCCCTTGCCCAGCCACACTATGTCCCATCTCATCCCTGCTTACTGAAGGATGCCGTGCTGTGTATTCTGTGCCACAGAGAACCTCGTGCAAAACCCACCCTAATCACAGCTCACCCCTCATGCAGCAGGTGTTGCACCTTGCCATTAAAGCTTCCCCAGATCCTACAGTTCTGCCGACACCTCAGTGCGGGCCAGGAGGGCAGCACCGCCACACCTCAGCCCCTGAGGGTCCCCTAGGGTTCCAAAAGAGCTGCACAAGAAGTGTTTCTGCAGCGAGTGCCCGCGTCTGCTCCGATGGTGCCAACAGGTGACAGCACCTGTTATTGACACCGATGTCACTGCACTGATGCTCAGCATGGAAAGGGAACACTTCGCCGCCCAGACGAACACGCACACACGGCTGTCGTTCCCACAAGAACGACTTCTCCTCTTTGGGAAGCGAGCCACAGAGAGACAGCCCCGCAATCCCGACGACAGACGGGAGCAAGGGCACTATAACCTGCTTGTCCTGGCGTGAATCCCAGTTCCCCGACTGATGTGCCGGGGAGTGAAAGCTCCGAGGCTCAGACCCAGCCCGGTTATCTCGTTCGAGACGCCCCTCCGGCAGAGCAGCCCCGCACGACCCCGGCACCGCCCCGCCCCTGCCCGCGGCCCCGACAGCCCGCGGTGACCGGGGCGACGGCGCTCGAGGGGAGGGCGGGCAGCCCCGAGCAGGAAACACCGCACGGGCACCGCCGCCCCGCGCTGCCCTCGGGCCCCGGGGTCCCAAAAGGCCGGGCCAACCCGGGCGCCCCGCGGCGCCGCCGCCGCCCCGGCGGAGAAAGGGGCGCCTCCAAGCAGCCTCCTCGCTCCGTGCCTCAGGCACGACTCCCCTCGCCCCCTCCCTCCCCCCGGCGGGGGCCACTCACCATATTACTCCCCGCAGCGGAAGAGACGGCGCCATGCGAGGCCGGAAGGGGCGGGGATGGCTCCCGTCGCCGCGGCAACCAGCGGGCCCGGCCGGACACGTGGCGGAAGCGCCGCCCGGCGGGAGCCCTCGGCGGCTCCGTCCCGCTGTCCCGGGGGATGGAGGGGGCCAAACCCGCCCTCCCTGCCTCCCTCCGCGGGCGGAGGTGGCGACCCATGCACGTCCCTTGGGAGATGCGGGTCATGTACGCCGCCGCCGCCGCACCGCATTGCTGCGGCTTATCCGCCCGCTGCCTGCGAGAATCCGAGGAAAGGGCTCGGAGGGGTGGTCATGATCACAGAGTAAATTGGATTGGAAAGAGAGAATCGAGTCCAACCTATGGCCGAACATGGCCGTGTCGACTAGGGCACTAAGTGCCACGTCCAGTCTTTCCTTAAATACCTCCAGGGACACCTCCATCTGTTCCAGTGTCTAATCATCCTTTCAGTGAAGAAATTCTTCCTAAGGTCCAACCTGAACTTCTCCTGGCGCTGCATCAGACTGTCCTCTCGTCATGTCCCTAGTTGCCTGAGGGAAGATGCCGACTCCCACCTCGCTCCAACCTCCTTTCAGGTAGTTGTAGAGAGCGATAAGATCCCCCTGAGCCTCCTTTTTTCTAGACTAAACAACCCCAGCTCCTCCAGCTGCTTCTCGTAGGACCTGTGCTCCACACCCTTCCCCAGCCTCGTTGCTCTTCTCTGGACCTGCTCCAACACCTCAGTACCCTTCCTGAACTGAGGGGCCCAGAACTGGACACAATACTCAAGGTGTGGTCTCACCAGTGCCGAGTACAGGGGAGGATCACTGCCCTGCTCCTGCTGGACACACTATGGATGATACAAGCCAGGATGCCATTGGCCTTCTTGGCCACCAGGGCACACTGCTGGCTCATGTTCAGCCAGTCAACCAGCACGCCCAGGTCCTTTTCCACTCGGCTGCTTTCCAGCCACTCCTCCCCCGGCCTGTAGTGCCGCATGGGGTTGTTGTAACCCAAGTGCGGGACCTGGCTCTTTGCCTTACTGAACCTCATACAAGCATCTTGTGTGCTGCCCCACCACATTTCTGCGGTTTATCTGCCACTGCCTGCGAGAACACAAGGTAAGGTCTCTAACGTGGCAGTCATGATACTCCACTGCAGCAACTCTACAAGGATGGGTTTTCTCCCCAGTACAAAAATACACCTTAAGTCACACCAGCATCACCACAGCCAGCACTCGCTCTTCTGCTGTATTCCGAATTAATGGCAGTCAGTACACAGCTTTCAGAAGGGATTTTTTTGCCCAGCAAAACCCCCAAAGGACAGTAGCTCTCCAAACTACAGAAACTCTGTTGAAAATCTAGTCACTTTGTTGTGTGCTAAAATTCTGAGAACTGCTCCCGTTGCCCTGAATACGTTAAAAACATTAGAAGCATTACAGTCCAGATGAGGAATCTACATCCCAAAGTCTATTGCAGTCTGAAGCAAAAAACAAACTCTGAAGGAGGACTCTGGTAGCGACTGTTGCTACTGAGGCTCTGGAACAGAGAGACATGAGGGCTGCAAGGTGACAGCCATCCCCTCCTGTGGGCTGACCAGCAGACTGCTTAACTATGCCCCATTCACTAGAACAAAATACAGAAGTCACCTTCGAAGTTTAGATAGCTCTCTTAAGGCAAATTGTGTTGCAAAACACCTGCATGGGATGTAATGAACCAAAAGATTTAGTCATAAGACAGCTTATTTATTATTGCATTTGCAAAACAATTAGAAAAGAGGTAGGAACAAAAATTGAAGCAAGCTATTTTATTGACAGATTATTGTACATATTAAGATACTTGAAACAACCTTCTCTAACACTGCCCTTTGTTCTTTCAAAAGTCTATTCAGTTGAGTAGTGTTCATAGTTAAAGTGGTTAAAAATGTTATTTGTATCTCATTTGTTCTGTAAAACATACCAGAAGACTTACCTGCCTGTCGGTGAGAGAGAGGCCTGTACATCAACTGAAACCAGGAACAAGCCATGGTCTTTCATCTGCTTCCCAGCCACTCTGGATAAACTTTATATTGTCTCCTGTTCCTGTGCTTTTTTGCAAAGCATTGTGATTTAATTATTGATAAAAACCCAAAATAATTTTTATTTTCCAGAGTGTTATCTGATCCTTACATGGCACAGGATCATTAATTAAGAACAACTATCAGACTGGATAGGTAATTGTATTCCATGAAACACATATTTAATGTCCCAGCCCTCATTCTAAGCTGTTGGCTGTAATCAAGTAGACTGTAATCCAGTCTACAGAAGTAGTTTCGGGAACATTTTCAGAAAATAGCTTTGCAATCTATAGAATCTGCATGACAGGTAAGAGAATTCAAACTGCAGCTGCTGCCTCCGTTCAAATTTAACCAGGCAACCAGAACTACGTGAACCACTCGGGTCACATTTTATCTTGTATGATTTGCTCCACAAAGTTGTTTGGTTACTTCATTACTGACATACTGTCAGGCTTTTTGATTATTTCATGCCTTAGGGTATTCCCAGAAGAGGCCAACAGTTAGTTATTAGAAACTCCATTTGTAGAAGTGTCTTCTCAGAAGACAAATACTACAACTAATAGCACAGCTAACAGTAGCATTCTGCATGTAACAAAACTAACAGTCTTCAAGGATGTCTTACAACTCGAGGCAATTTTTAGGCCTTTTAGAAATTGCTAAAAGGAGATTTGAAAATATCAGAAGTTACAGTATTAAAAAGAATATATTGTTTTTACAGTATATGCTAGCCAGAAAAAGTGAAATCTTCAAAAGCATTTGTTAAAAACAGCACTTTGCTTATTAGGTTGTTTGTAGGCTGATATTCTGAAAAACACCTTTTATTTATAGCTACAACACAGCACCTGGAATAAATCACCTGTTGAGAGGTTGATTTTGGTTACATTGTATTTTTCTGCCTTTGCCACTACATAGTATTTTCTGCATTATCATTACACACAGAATAAAAAATTACTCAAAGACTAAGTTGCATAACTCTGTCTTTTCTAGAGCCATATAAACCCTTGTAGGAAACAGGCTGCATTTCACAAGTTCACCAAGTATTTGGAAATTTGCAGGAAGATGCCATGAGTCAAAAAACAAAACAAAACAAAAACCCCAAACAAAAGCCAACAACTTTAAACTTAAGTTTTTCTCACTTTTCTCTGGCAAACTTAGAGCACTAAAATACAGAAATAAACAGGTTTTCATCTGAGATATGCCTGCATCTGACACTAGGCATGCAACCTTGTCTCCCCATCTTGGATGGCATGGGAAAGATTTAACGAGTCCAAGATACTTCAGTCCGTGGTATGCTGCCAAGTACATAATCTCTGTAGATTTCAACAGAGCAAGTGGTAGGATATTTTTTCAGGCTCTTGCTTCTTCACTAGTTTACCTGAGCATCTCCTCAGAATAAAAGTCTATTTTACCTCCAAGAAGTTGCATTTCAGCCAAAAAGAGATGCTGGATAATTACCCTGCATAGATGTCTTTCTACCCCAAGGAATTAATCCTTGACAGAAGCAAAAATAGCTCACATGGTTCAGTCCAAAACGTTGGGGTTTTTTCCTCATTGCTGTATTGATTTTTATTTGGCTTGCTTGTTTTAGCAGTGATGGATAAAATGATGTGTGGAAGGATAAAGTGATGTGAAGCAGTGGTCATGGCTGCTTTTTGAGAGCCCCCTAATGCTGCAAGATATGTAATATTAAAATTACTCTGAAAAAATGTTTATTCTTATCTTTGGGATGTAAAAACGTAATGCCCCCACAGTTCCTGCCAGTCCAGACACAGCCTCAAGACTGTGGAATTACAAGCAGTAAGGACATGGGGGTAAGTGTAGAATTCAGATTGTTAACTCAAAATTACAGCACTCTCACCCAAGCAAAAGAAAAGGTCATTTTGAAGCCAAGTAAATTGGCTCCAAATTTCTCAGGACTTCACCATGACCACTAGAATCAGTTATGTGAAACCTCCTGGTTTTCACTATGATCTAGGCAAGACTAGGATGAGCACACACTTTCAAGTTCAGCACATTTATTTAGGAAGTAGCACTTCTGTTTACATTAACTTTAAGAACTTGAGTTGTGTCCTTTAGAAACTGATTTATTTACACATTTATTGTTCCATCATCTGGTATACAACAGCTGATTTTTTAATTATTTTTTTTTAAACCAGCAGCAATTTAATGGGCTTCAGGTTTAATGAAAAGGCTCTTAGTTTTGGACATTTTATCTGAAAAACAGACAAGAAAACAGTAAGAACAGGACAAATGCAACATTTTATTGTGGAGCTAAAGCTATGTGACTGCTCATCATGCTTTTTTACACTGCTTATTAGTAAAATGGTGTTTAACATTTCAGAAAACATTCTTAAAAGAACAATGAAATAAAAGTGCTTCAAAACAACAAAATACAAATATTAACCCCATCCCAGACTGGAGTCATCCAATATACTTAGTACGGGTGGGGTATGCTGTTTTGTCTCCACCTTTGGTTTTTGTCACTTTAATACATATTTCTGAAAAATACTGACTAGCCCTTCACATGAGTAAAAATTTCAATCATGTGGTATAAACAGTTTCTGTGTTTCCAGTCCCTTTGACAGGTGTGTGCGACTGTTAAAGTACTTTCTTCCCCGCTTCTCATTGTAAAAAAAAAACCTGCCTGAGAGGCTACACCCCTGGCATCTTTGAGAACATGCCTGTATTAACCAACTACAGAGAACACTGACCGTTTATCCTCAAAGCTGCTTCTCTGAAGAAAGGATTTTAAGAAGTGCATCTCATGAAGGCAAGGAAAGTCTTGCAGCGAAACAAGGTTGATCACCATCGTTTCCAGAAATAATGTCAAACACTTGCAGATCAAAACATCAGACTCTGAAGAAGTGTTTAGCCAATAAATTGAATCCACTGGAGGAGTGTATATCTTGCCAATTATTGCCAAACTCAGGAGGTAGTTATTGACAAGGTAAGAAGTTTCCACTCTAAGACAGTTAACGAAGGAAAAACA